TTGCCCTCTAGGACTCTGGGAATAATTAAAAGGGGGAGTGAGGCACCTTGCACACTGGCAGGACAGAGCTATGCAAATGTGTGGTGGCCATCACTCCCTACTTCCAGTTGTGAGGGCCTCACAGGTGATAGACAGTGATTCTAAATAAGAGTTCCTGCCCCCATGGACCTTCCTATTGAAAGGTCACTCTGAGGTCACAGCTCACAGAGAAGCGGAAGTGATTTGCATCCATTCTGTGTCAGCCTCCCATCATCAGCCCTAGGCTGCTGCTGCCTGGTGCCCATATTCACTCTTTAGATGGTTTCAAAGTCAGACTTTAGGAAAGGGAGTGATAGACACTCCCTGGACCACAACCTTTGTCCCATCTACAGGCTATAGTGATCCACTTCCCTTCCACATTCCTGGAGACTGAGGTCTTTCCTTGATTTTGGCCAGCCCGCTGCCTAGAACATTCCCAGGACTTAAGATGTTTCTCCACTCATCAGCTTACTCACGAGGCAGAGGCTAGGGCTATGTGGGGAACCCCAGCAAGCTGAAGAGGGAGAGGAATGTAGGTAGACAAATCTAGGACAACCCCTAGACTCATGGAAGACATAGATCCTTGGCTCACAGCAGTGAACTCCCCAGAGCAGGCTGCCTACTCCATGTTAGAACTGTCAGGTCTCTGTGGGAAAGGCTGGCCTTCACAGAGTCCTAGCATAAGAAAAAAATGGTGGGCTATGGTCCCCATAGCCCTAGAGTTATATGTGACTGAGAGATGCAGGGAACCTTTGAAGCAGGCTACAAAAGGAGCCAGGGCCAGGGATAGAGGCTGTGAAGCTACAAAAATAGAAATTAAACCAAATTGGTTAGTCCTCCTAGATGCCTTAGTAGCAAACTGGCCTCAGGCTAGTCTTTAGGCCCTTGAGTCCCAACACAATCTGAGACATCTGACAGGTCTTTCCAGGTCTCTTATGCCTGTGCCTGCATGACAGTCTCTCAGTAACGTGCAGACTCTAGTGCATTTGTTACTAGATGTCTTCTCCATTTGGGTTGGAGAAGATCAGGACCCAGGAAAAGAATGGCTCAAGAGCAAAGCTGGGGGCTGCTTCCATCCTACAAATACCTAGAGATGCCTCACTAGCTCCTACAGTATCGATATCCAACACAGCTCAGGGATTCATGCTTGCCAGTGCTTCTATGTTCATAGTCCACTCACTAGATCACTCCTAGTGGTTCCTCAGCCATCTCTCTGATGGGAATGCAGCCAGCCTTCCTGGCTCGGGAGAGCAGAAGCACCACTGAGCTCTCTGAGAGTTGCACTCAGAAGGTTCTGGACTCATGATTCAGTACTTTTCCTACCAAGCAGTTCTCTGAAAGCCCCACAGCATAGTAACCTGAGTCACAAAACATCTTTTGCCTCCTCCACACACCTGTCACTATACACAGCCAGAGGGAATGCTAGGATCTCATGAGGTAGGCAAGTGACTCAGGGTCAGGCTACTTTCGGCTCTGAGTTCAAGGGGAGGAATACGGGTCGCAGGAAATGGACCTAACAAGTACCTTTGGAAAAGCATTCTAATTTACAGGATTAGAATGAAGGGTGTAATCAAAACAAATCTCTGGTCATATCCCCTTTGAAACTCCCCAAGTTATAATCACAATAAAAAAAACCCAGGATCCCCACCCTCCAAAACAAAGGAAAATTTAAAGGAACTTCTTAAGTTTTAGCCTCCTTCTGCTATTTCCTACTGGAAATAGAACCCATGGGGCAAATTCAGCTGTGATGGCTAGTTTTATGTCCATTTGACACAATCTAGAATGATTGGGAAGAAGAATTCTCAGCTGAGAAAATGTCTCTATAAGATTTGTCTGTGGACAAGTCTGTGGTACACTTTCTTGGTTGCTGATTGATATGGGAGAGCCTAGCCCACTGTGGGTAGTGTCACTTCTAGACTGGTGGTCCTGGGTGCTATAAGAAAGCCATCTGAGCAAGCCAGTAGTTATAGGAGGAGCGCAGCCAGCTAGCCTGATAAAACCACAGCTGCACTGTTCTGAATAATGTGCATAGGCACGCATCCTAGCTACTTCTCACTGAGCCAACCTGGAGTCTGCCGCTGCACCTGGTGATTGGTGATGCACAACCATCAGAATGCTGGGGGCCAATGAGCAAGAGGGAACACAGCTAAGAGAGTCTCTGGCTGCCAATGGGAAATTGGGATGAGGTATATAGGTTCGCCCCATTTCCGCAATGAATGAGTCCACTGCTTGCTTCTCACCTGACTCCCAGTGTCTGTGTCAACGACGCTGCAGCTTCTCACCCCCTCCCCCAAGGGGTGTCCAGATAAGATGACCCCCAACAAGTAATCAACACTCCCCCATGGCCTCTGCATCAGCTTCCCTCGGTGATGGGCTGTGACATGGAACTATAAGTTTAAACAAACCATTTTCTCTCCAATGGTATTTATCCATAGTACTAGAAACCCTAACTAAGACATCATCTGAGATTTGATTCCCATGTTACAGATTCAGAGGCAAAAGAGAATCCCAGAGTTCATCTTGCCCCTTCTCTGCCTCTAAACGGGAAGAAACAGTAGCAGAGGGGACAGGTCAAGGGAAAGCAGGATGCCAACACAGCTGACACTGGGGGCAGTGTGGCAGTCTGGCCTGGCTGATGCTGACATTGTGCTGTATGGGACATGTGTGGTCTGAGCTGAGTCCAGATGAATTGTAACAAGAGAGCCTGAGCAAAGTAACTTGGCTATCAACCAAATCAAAGGAAACTGATACTGTGCATGAAAAGCTGCCCCGGCCTTTTTTAGACTGACTGGGAGACAGCCCTAGCCCTGTGCAGTTTCTGGCCTCCTCCTCTCTATTCTCAAGTCCTGAACTTGCCTCTAACTTGAAAGGGCTAATTAAAGCCAAACGAAAAAAAAAAAAAAGAAAATCAAAAGCTTGTTATCTGGCTCCATTACTCTCAGTCCTGGCATTGGTCTGCCTCTCAAAGCTGTCCTCCCTCTGTTCTCTCCAAGGATACCATGCAGTGTTAGGGCCTACTGCTCTGCAGGCCTCCATGGTGAACTTGGCTTTTGTATTATAGCAGGAGCAAGAGCAGGATAGATACCTGTTCATGCCATCAGGTATATCCCTACAGATGCTCTTGCTCCCAAAAGCAAAGCCCCAAACAATTTTGAGCAAGTTTTCTACAGAAAACTGTCAGAGGTTGCTAAGCCCTCTGATCTCAAAAGAATTATCTATTTAGTAAATAGGCATCACTACCATGTCATCTTCTAGCATGAGCAATGTATGCACATGGGTATGTAAATGCATTGGTGGAGACATTTGTTGCCCGTATTTCAAGTGTGTCGGGGTACTCAAATGTAAAATGAAGATTTCACCAAGGTGCTGTGGGTTGACGTTCACCCCCTCCCAAATGCAGATTTAAATTTGTTTGCATTTTATTGTAGTAAGAAGTTCCGGGATGATGGGGCTGGGAAGGAGCTTGGTGGCCAAAGCACTTGTTATACCTGTCTGAATCCTGAGTTTAGATCCACAGGAGCCCATGTAAACACTGAGTGGGCGTGGTCACCCACCTATAACTCCAGCCTTGAAAGGCTGAGACAGGAGAATTCCCTGAGTGAGTTGGCTAGCAAAATTAGCTAGGGTTTGATTGGAAGGTTCTGTCTTAAATAACAAGGTGGAAGAGTAATTGGGAGTGAGTGGATTAATATTTTTGTTTTGTTTTTCAAGACAGGGTTTCTCTTCATAGCCCTGGCTGTCCTGGAACTTGCTCTGTAGATCAAGCTAGCCTCGAACTCAGAGATTCACCTGCTTCTGTTTCCTGGGTGCTGGGGTTAAAGGCTTGCGCCACCACTCCTGGCTTGAATTAATTATTTTATTGCAGGAGTGGATTAAGGATAAGATCAATCACCTCTCACTCTCTTTCTCTTGCCTTCCCCTCATCCTCTTGCCATGTTATGATACAGCAAGTAGGTCCTCAACAAATGCAGGCACACTTGATTGCAGACTTTGGCAACCTCCAAAACTAAGTGACATCAATTGCTGCTCATGATTGATGGCTCAGTCTTGGCATTCCACTATAGAAGTATGAGGATTCTCTAATGGTCTTCTCTATACTTATCTTCTACTGCTTCCCCGACAGACCTATGTTTAAATGTGTAACACACACACACACACACACACACACACACACACACACACACACACACACACACGCATGCACGCACGTGCGCACACACACACGCACAGCACAGCACAAATATGGTTCATCACTGACTGCCTACATTTAGGAATAGTTCAAAATCCCCTAAATTCTTAACAGTCCCATAGATCCTTTTGACTAGATCAGCTACTACCCAAAGTGAATGGTTCCAGGATTCCTGCTTTGAATTCCCTTCCTAAAAGTCTATAATCTGTAAGCAAAATAAACCCTTTCCTCCCCAAGTTGCTTTTAGTTTTGGTCTTGATCATAGCAATAGAAACCTAACTATAAGATAGACACCTTTTCCATGGTACTATGAACACAGAGGATGCTTTATAAATATGCTTGATCTCTTCCTATCTTCCTTTACTCTTATTTGCCATTTATAAAGATATGCAAGGGGCTAAAATAAAACTACAATTCTCTGAAACCCCATGTCCACCTCAAGTGCAAAAATTACTTCTCATGTTAACACTTGCCTTTCCTGAGTCTTCCATCATTTTCTCTAAGCTGTTCTACCATGCCCAAATGCAAAGAACATCAACTTTACATGTTTCCACCTATTCCCAGCCCCATTTCTCATCATAAGCAAGGAGAAAGAGAACAGAACAAGACACCAATAGGAAACCTACATTGTAGCTCTAATGGAATCTTTCATACTAAGGATGTTGGGCTGGTGATAGGCCAAATCAATGATACCCAAGAGGAAGACCTATCAACACTCCATGGAGGCTACAAAGCTGGGGTCCTGATCGCCCACACCCAACTGTCCAGGCCCACAGGATCCCCTCTGACTCACCGCACTGCTGCAAGGGATGTCCTTCACCTTGAGCCAGGCCAGGTCCAGTGTGCCCTCGCCTCGGTAACAGGACTGCAGGCGCTCCTTAATGCGGTCATTGATCTGTTTCAAGATGAAGATGCACAGGGCAGACTCATCCAGAGATTTCATCTTCCGCTTCTGGCCCTTGGAGAAGACAGTGAAGAGGAGGTCAGCATCTGGACGGACTCCCAGGGTCCGGCCCAGCACAGCACCAGCTTTAGACAGGTAGGCAGCCTGTAGCAAGCGATATTCCACCCCATTGCGCTCACAGCCAATGGGCACCTCCACGTAGGAATTGAAGGCTGTGTCCTCTTTGCAAAGCCTCACAAGCTTTGACGTGTACACCTGTTCCTTCGTTGTGGAGCCTGGGGGAGACACCATCTCTGGCTGAAGGGTCAAAAAGTAGACAAAGTTGCCACTGCTGAAGCCATAAACGTAGTAGATGTCAAAGTCAGGGATAACAGTGAAGGTGTCTGAAGGGATCTTGATCATAGAGGCCACAAATTCATCATGGAAAACATATGCAAACATGCCATCTGCCTCAGAGTTCTTAGTCAGCTTCCGGCTAGAGATGGTAGGAAAATATTCAGGCTTGCCATCCACTGCAGTGGCAATAAAGAGTTTATCATCCAAATTGCTATAGGAGACGATCACCCCAAAGACTGAGCCACTCTCATTAACCCCTGAGAGGTAATGTTCCTTCTTGTGGAAAGGCTCCCCCAACTTGAAGAGGTCCTCTAGCCTGAGGAGCTTGCAGATACCCTGGTACAAGCTCCCACATGCAATCAGCCTGTTTTCTTTGTAGTCTATAAGCAGCATCTTGTTGACATTATTGGTGCTGGCCAAGGGCTCATTGCAGGTCTGAACAATACGAGGTGGGTAACACTTGGGGTTATCCTCGTCTGGCCCTGTCTGATGAGTCACCAAGACCTTGAGGTCACTAGAGAGTTTGTAGATCCTATTGACAGCCCCCAAGTAAATGTGTCCTGTCCTCTCGTCCACCACAAGGTGATTGAAGCCCTCGGTGGGTTCCCCTCGGAATGTGACCAAAGAACGCTTTTGAGACAGCTGTGGTGGCTGCCGTGAAAGCAGAGTGGAGGAGCCCATCCCTACCACCAGGAGGTGGGACAACAGGCAGGTCCAGTTCCAGGGCATGGCTTTCATCTCCGAGAGAGGTCCTCTCAACACAGCAGCAACCAGCACAGCCGTCCCTCCGGAGGGCCAGGACTCAGCAGGGCAGTCTCCCCTAGGAAAGAAAAAAGATTGAAATGTGAGTGAACCATGGCAGGACTCTGTGGTGCCTACAGATCTTTCTGAATTTAGGACATACATGGAACCAACATGTTCTGGGAAAGCCAGAGGCCAGTCCTCCCCCCCCCCCCCGCAACCCCCCCGTGTAGGTCCATGAGATGTTTATCTCAGTGGTGGCAGTCTTAGTACTTGTTATCAATAATGATGATGGTGATAATGGTGATGAGGATGATGAGGATAGTAGTGATGCTAATAAGAAACAACATGGCCTACTGAGTGTCCAGTTTTGCACCAATCCCTAGCCAGTACCTCTGGATACTGTTTCATTTCATCTTAGTAACCCTTCCATAATGAATATCTTCCAACTGCCCTCCTAGGTCTAAGGTCTGCACTTATCCGTGGAAACAGAGTTGACACACATGGACCCTACATTGGAGGGTCCCAAGTTATCATCCTAGTGAATAGCATCAACAGAAAGCTAGAGGAGAAGCCATCTGTCTGGGGACCTTCCTTCCTCTGTCTCTCTATCTCCATGTTTTGTGGACCATCTCCTGCCTACTTTATTAGACCTAAGAGAGAGTAACAGTGATCTCATTGCTACTAACTCAAAGATGCAGCACTAAGCCGGGTGGTGATGGTGCACACCTTTAATGCCAACACTCCGAAGACAGAAACAAGCCTTTCTCTGTGAGTTCAAGGCCAGCTTGGTCTACAGAGCTAGTTCCAAGATAGCCAGGATTACTCAGAGAAACCCTGTTTCAAAAAGACAAAAAAAAGAAAGAGAGAAAGAAAGGAAGAAAAAAAGAAAGGAAGAAAGGAAGAGAAAAAAGGAAAAAGAATGGAAAAGAAAAACCAGCACTACCCACTGAAGAAACCAGTCTTTCATGAATACTCCCATTAATTTTTGCTGAAAAGACCAAATTTGCACATCTTGTTTCCTGCCAGAACCTTAACTGCTGCCAACAGAAGCCTGTGGTCATTTTACACCACATTTTACAGCTAAGGAATGTGAGCTTAGGGGACTTTTGTGGCTTGTACCACCAAAAATGGATAAGGTGGCTGAAGTAGTCGGTCCTTAACCATCTCATTTGATCCTACAGCAAGGGCTGGACCCCATGTCCGGTTATCCACAACAGAATTGCTAAGACCACCCATTGTAACTGCTGTCCCTGACCCACATTGTCCTTCCTGCCTCCTCTACCAGATGGTACAGGGAGGTTAAACTAAAAGCCCACATCCTCCATCCCTTCAAGTTGCAGTGGCCACCAACTCCACCCGGATATACTACCCAGCTCTGAGCTCTCCTATCATTTTAATGAAGTACATCTTGGCTGCCTCCTATGGTGGGGACTCCTCTGCCCCCTGTAATTTTTCTTTGAAAGGAGAGAAAAAGTACTTTCAGAAACCAGTGGCAAAACCAGTGACAAACAAATAATAAATAAATAAATAAATAATAATCACTAGGACACAAAATTGCCATCCATCCTAGCAGTTGCCTTCATTTCTACTCAATATACTTTCTGCATGTGTTTCCAGGGGGACAGCATCGCATTTCTCCCAGCTTGGATGAAATAAGGGCTGAAATCATCAATATCTTATTTAGGGGCATCTCAGCTCTGTAGGATTTCTCATTTCCCCCAAGCTCCTAAAAATGAGGTTATGGGATGAGGCAAATTGTTAAAGTAATAGAAGTCACCCCAGCAGGAAGAAAGGACAGGCTAGCTGGACAGCCAGAGAAGAGAAAAAAAATAGTAAAGACTTTACATTGTCAGCCAAAATCCTAAGAAAAACCACCTCAAGGAGACACGAGAGGAAGAAACCACTAACAGATGGGAACCCTACCGTAATGGGCAGTCCTGTAAACAAAGGGCCTTCCTTTATCTACCCACGTGGTTCAAGAGTGTACTCAGCGCATGTGCAAAACAGGCAAGATAATGTAGGACTCTCGGGTCTGGCTGTCAACTTACTGTTAGTCCAGGTGAAAACCATCAGAACCTACTTATTACATGAGATAAAGTTGTGTGACATAGGACAGCATGCTTTGGGAGTTCTTATTTGAGGAGAGGGAACAAGGAGAAGGCTTTCAGAAACCTCAGTGTAGATGAGGAACACAGCTCAGGAAAGAATCAGGAGGAAGGTATGGCAGAAGAGAGAAAGCGATGAGCCTGTCAGGATAGCACCGAGAAGTCAAGACTAAAATGCACAGAGCTGGGAAAAGAGGACAACGTAAAAAAAGCAAAGGGAAGCCCTCCCTTCGATGGAGGAGAGATTGGAGCTGAGGACTGGTGAGATCCAGGAGCCAAACAGATTCTGTCCTAATCAGTAGTGCAGCCATATCACCCTGACCAGGCACCCAGTGGAGGCTCAATAACTATTTGACTGGAGAAAGAGGGGCCAGAAGCAGAGAGAATAGCAATGTTTGTGCAGCCTTGACTATATATATCCCAAGCCCCATGCAAGGTAAATGCTTTCCCCTGAATTAGCTCATAGGACCATCATGGATGCCCCTAAAGCAAGATGGCTTTACCTATTCTGCAGATGAGGTAGCGAGTTCTTCAAGGATATGTGACCAATGAGAGGCAGAGTTAGGGAGGGAATCCAGGTCTATATCACTGCAAAGTCCATACACCTTTTAGAAATGCCTCATTCCAGAACACAGAACATTGAGCCATTGGAATTTAATTCACATAAGTCCCAAACACAGAGGTCCCAGGATATCACCTACCAAATCCAGAGAAATGAAAATTCCTGTGACCTACAGGACTATAGTAGGAAGGTTTCTCCAATCCTGCCTGGCCCTGTGGTCCTGCAGCCACACATAAAATAATCATTCAGAGGCTTAATATTATTTACCAATTGCATGGCCTATGGCAGACTTCTTGCTAGCTAGCTCTTATATCTTAAATTAACCCATTTCTATAATCTATGTTTTGCCATGTGTTCTGTGGCTTTACTGGTCTGCGGGCATCTTACTCCTTTGGTGATGGGCTGGTGTCTCTCCAGCCTCCACCTTTCTCTTTCCTGTCTCTCTCCCTGGATTTCCCACCTGCCTCTAAGCTGCCTTGACACAGTCCAAAGCAGCTTATTTATTAACCAATGGGAACAACATACATTCACAGTGTATAGAAAGACATCCCTCAGCTCAGAGTACTACCTGAGAGACAACACTTGTCAATGGGTACTACCACATGATAATTCTGAAAGTATTGATGAGTACTTGATAAAAGGTGAACCTTCTGTTCATCACACAGCAGGTGCTTTGCTGTCATTAATAAGGTTGAAACTCAGTTAGAAGGATAAGGATTATAAGGGATGGTACCTACTGGTTTAAAAAAAAAAGTCTTAGGACAAGTGATGAGGAGTCAAGACAGTTCCTCTTTAACTGTCTTTCCAAATCCAAAAAGCAGAGAAGATTTTAGAAATTTGTTTTCTGAACTAGGTAATCTGTTTAATGCTGCTCACAACTCTAATTTCAGAGGCAATGGAGGTGAAATCAAAAGGGGCCATGTGGGATGAAGATGAATATGAAGGCTGGGGAGATAGCTCGGGTGGCAAAGTGCTTGCCATGCACACATGAGAACTTCAATTTGATCCCTAGAAACCATGTTAAAAATTCAGGCATGCCAGCATATGTTTATAATCCAAGTCCTGGGGAAGAGAGGACAGGAAAATCTCTGGGACTCCTTGGCCAGCCAGCCTGATGTAATCAATGAGTTCTAGGCTGGTGAGAGACCCCATCTCAAAAAACAGGGTAGACAACAAGGAAGGAAGGATACTCAAGGTTGCCCTCTGACCTTTACATGCACATGCAGAAATGCACATGCACTAGCACACATATGTATACCCACCCCACACCCATGTACACAGACACCATCAATTAATCAATCGATAACAATGTATAAAGAGAAGATGGTGATGAGTGACCACAGACCACCGATTCCCCATTCAGTGCTCTTCCTGTCACATTTGGCCTCTCCTGACTTTATCTAAACATACTCCAGCATCTGCTCCCCAGGCTTTGAAAGTGACAGCTCTTCAGGCACCATATGCTCCGCTGGCTAACAGGGATCTCACTGCAGCTCTGCCAACAGCCAGATTCCAGAGGGGCTGGGATACTCACTGGAAGACACGGGCAGGTCGGGGCACAGCCACCGGCCCTTTGGGAGGGAACATTCAGCAGACCCTGTATCGGAGCATGCCACGTGCCTGACATTTGGCCCACCTTACCGTACACACTCACAGGACCACAGCCAACCCACAGCTCCCCAGTCAGTGCCAGGCAAGACACAGAGGCCATAATCATGATTTTTCCTGGGCAGGCAGGGGCCACATCTCACTCACCATCTTCTATGAGGCACCAAAATGAGACATGGTTACACATCTCAAACACTTATCACTTTCATGTGGGGATGGTGAAATAACTGTTCCTGGAGGGAGAGGGGAACTCTCGGAAACAATAACCTGTGACGGGGGATAAGCAGCCTCTCGTTTTTTTGCCCCAGAAAAAGGAGTGATTAGGAAACAAGAAACAGAGAAATAGAAAAGGAAGTTATATGGACAAGCACGTGGGCACCAGCTAGCTCACTGAAGACCCCAATGTGGGCCTGGCCAATTCCAGTCTCCCCACTCCAGCTCAGGGGTGGCCTTCTTCCCACAGAGGGACAGAGCCACTAGCCCCCTCACACCCGGGGTCATCTAAGCTTATTCTGACCTCACAGAACTGCAAAGCTGGAGCTTCCAGAGGGTGGATGTGTCTATCCCAGGACTTCAACCCATGTAAGTGCTGTCTTTAGCCCAGGAATGCCCTACCCCAACTTCTGATCCTTCTATAACTTCTCACTCAAATATCCATTTAGATGATTTTAAAATAATTTTAAAATAAAAAAGTACCAGCAAATCACTCCAAAGGTTTTCAAAGGGCTTCCTGAACCAGGCAGGGTAAGCAGGACAGAGGACAGGACACCCACAGACCAAATCAAACCCAAACACACTGCC